CACCTACGATAATTACTTTATCTGTTTTAAGAACCAAAGTTGATAAAAACTCAGAGAATTCTGATAAGAATTCTGAATAAGGACCTGGTGCACGGTACACTGTAACAAATAAGATTGGCTGCACAGTTTTCCAGGTCGGATGCGTAAGACTAAAAACGAGACTTTCAAAGGAGGTATAATTTAATTTTGGTTTAGTATTGATAAGTAAACTTGAGTCAAAGATGGCTGCAACTCCACCTCCTCGGCCCGTGCCTCGGGCAATATGAGTATTGATATGGCTGGGTGGAGTGGCCTCATTTATGCTGACATATTCTTCATGTCTCAACCAAGTTTCAGTGAGACAGCATATATCAATATTATAATCTGATATTAAATCATTTACCAATATTGCTTTAGATGCTAGAGATCTTATGTTTAAGAGACCACATTTAATATTCCTGTTTTGTTGCACTGTAGCAGTTACATTTACTTTTATTAGGTTATTATGTATGACACCTCTATTAGGTTTTACCTTAACTTGTCCTTGGGCAGACACACACACCGCTAATATTGGGTATTTTATTGGGTTCGGGATTCCTATGGATGACTGCCTAGGAGAGAGCGCAGAGAAGCGTGTAAGACTGCGACTCCGCCTCCTGGTCTCAACTCCAGTCTGTCATGGATTAAGTCCACAAAACCCTGAAATGTTTGCCGAAATGAGATTTGCACCTTCCAAAGTAGGATGAATGCCGTCTCTCTTAATCAGACCAGGTTTTCCCCAGAAGGCTGTCCAATTATTTACGAAGCCCACATTGTTTGCTGGGCACCACCAAGACAACCAGCGCTGAAATGATGACATGCGGCTATACATGTCATCATTGATCAGATTGGGGAGGGGACCAGAGAAGATTACGGTGTCCGACTTTGTTTTAGCATAACTACACACCGACTCCACATTAAGTTTGGTGCATTCTGATTGGCGTAAACGAACATCATTACCACCGACGTGAATAACAATCCTACTGTATTTACGTTTATTTTTAGCCAGCAGTTTAAGATGCGCCTCAACATCGCCCGCTCTGGCCCCCGGAATGCATGTGACTGTGGAGGCACTTTTACATCTGGGTGGCTAGTGTCATCATAGCATGAAACAGATGGGCTTAACTCTATGTTATGGGATGCGACACCAGTCCGGTTGCATTCACATGTGGCAGCAGAGAGAGCACACACACTGCTGCACACACAGTGTTAAAGTGCTGTCGGCGGGGTGTTTAGTGCCTGGCTCGTGTCCAGCTCGTCTGTGAATTCCATCTCTAAACATTTTACAGGCAGAGAGGATATGCTGTTCTGCCTTTAAAGTCCTCTGCAGCCTATGTCACACACAAGTCTATTAGCATTCATTAATACGTTAATCAACAGTAAAAAAAAAATGTTGATGACCAATTAAATATTTGGGTCATTTTCTCAAAGAAAAATGCCGAAAATGTGCTGTGTTCAGCATCTGCACTCTTTTTACACTCGTTTTACACATTATTTGTATTACTATGAGTATGTTGGTCCTTCAAAACTTGTTTTTGAAGACATTTTCATGACTGGATAGTAAGAAATAAATCATCAGTTGCAGCCCTAGTCATGTGCTGTTCTGGAAAGATTTAAGATTTGGAAGCACGCTAAAATGTGCTTTTTAGCGACCAACTGTAGGTACATCTTATTTATGAGGAAAGCTATTGTCGAGCTATCAGATTGTGTTGCTAAAATAACTCAATAAAGATAGATCTGCCAGATCTTGAGTCTCTTTTTAAACACCATAAAAATATTTGCAGAGCTGATGAGCCGTTTCCAGTCTTCAGAACAACAGTTGTAGGCGACAGTTCCGTTTGTATGTTATTACCTGATGAAGCTTTCCAGCCTCATTTCCACTTAATTGAACTAATGATACTATCATTGATCGTATCTATGTCCCACTTTGAGGCAGAGCAAAGCTCATAAACATAGATAGATTTGACATTATCTCTTCCCCCCCCCCCCCCCCCCCCCCCCCCCCTCTCTGTACTAGCCCCTGCTTCTCTCTCTCTTTCTGTGAGCCCTAAAAAGCCACGGCTCGGCCTTTTGTGCCGAGCGAGACACTTCCTTTCGCTTGATGCTGTGTTTGCTTTTCTGAGCCGGCTCCCAGAGAGCTGTTGTTGTCCGCTGCTGTTTTAGCATTCATGCCTCTCCCTCTCTTTCTAACCCTGACCAAATCCCAACCCCCAGCCCCTCCCCCACCCAACCCCTTCTCTCTCCAAATCACACCCTGAACTACAACATACCTGCGTGGATTAGGACATCTGTTCTCCTCAGATCACCCATGAACGCTGCACTCTGCAACCCCTCCTATCAGCTTATTAGTCATTGTTTCTCTTTGTCTCATTATCCCCCAATCCCTCCCTCTGTGTGTGTGTGTGTGTGTGTGTGTGTGTGTGTGTGTGTGTGTGTGTGTGTGTGTGTGTGTGTGTGTGTGTGTGTGTGTGTGTGTGTGTGTGTGTGTGTGTGTGTGTGTGTGTGTGTGTGTGTGTGTGTGTGTGTGTGTGTGTGTGTGTGTGTGTGTGTGTGTGTGTGTGTGTGTGTGTGTGTGTGTGTGTGTGTGTGTGTGTGTGTGTGTGTGTTAGAGATGAGTGGGGAGTTATGAGAGGAATGTGGGCTGACAGGACTACACAGGTCGGCCCCACAGAGCCAATAGACAGGCAGTGACTGATGGAGACGAGACTGGCTCCCAGCCTCTGTTGGGCCAAAATACTAGATGGCCAAAATCTGCTCTGCTTAATAGAGATCACTCTTGGGAGAGATGTAAAAAGTGTTTTTAAAGATATCATTATAGGAGGTTATTTTTGGGGATTGTTTCCCTCAGGATGATCATAAGTTAATGAGTGTGTGATACTTAACTATTAGAGGACAAATGATGGTGAACCTGAACAAAGCCTGAGCCCAGGACTCCATCCTGTTTGGCTTCATTCTGATGAGGCAGCTGCTCCCTCAGATCCCATTGTGACCACAAACGCTCTGTGGCTTTCCCTAATGACTGAAGTTGGGGAACAATAATTGGCTGATCTCTCCAAACTTATTTAGTAGTTTAACATATCATTGTTTTGCTGTAAGGGATATTAAAACCCTATCCATTTCAGATGTACAGTGGGGAGATGTTTCACAGCAACATTAATGAATATTTAATGATGAAATCAATTAAAACTTTAGATTTATAAACATTAAAAAGACTAAGACTGTACAGCTCTGTTAACAGCTGTGGCTAAACTAAAATGGCAATTTTCTTTGCATTTTGTTCCCATGTTCACCATTTAATTAAGCATGCTAACATGCACTAATTATTACAACATTAAGTTGGGAGTATGGCTGACTCTGTAGAGAGTCTATAGGTGAAGAGTGTCTGTAACTTTTGCTGTACAAAAGTGTATGTGTGCATTATTACTAAGATTTGAATATTTCAACGGTTACTAGGGTTCATCCTGTGACAACCATACGTGTCTGACATCCACACAGCTATATATAAGTTAAGGATTACATGGAGCTTTAGGCACATTTAGAAACTAATGACTAAAGCGATTGCCAGTTTATAGCAGCATGACTAAGCATGACTCCAGAACAACAAACCACTTTTTGCTGTTGAGATGAGATTTGCATCGCCTTGAAACCAGAGATAGTTAAACTGAAATAGAGATGAGTGAAGGCAATCGGTAATGACAATCTGTCAACAGGTCATAGGAGCTCAGGGGGATATTCATTACTGCAGCCACTTAGATCTGTGATTTTTAATTTGTGTCCACAGGAGCCAGAGCTCTGCTGTTTCTCTGTCCTATCACCAAGTTAATTACATTCCCCATGGCATCACCTGTATGACTCAGTCACTGGTTGGATTAGCTCGGGTCCACAGGGCCAGGACTGAAGAGAGCAAACACCTCATGGCTGCATGTCTTTAGCATCTTACATACAGACTTTCTTTATCTTAAACAATTAAGACAATGTGTCTTGAAAAAAAGTTGAACTGTTCTATGTTTTTCTCGAATGGACTCCTAGTTTACTTGTGTAACAAAGTGGAATCACTATGTCAGAGCAGACTGGGCTGTGGTTTCAGACAGAGGGTGAAAAGAGGTGCTGCAGCACAGGCAGTAAGAGAAAAAAACATTGAAGCATGGAGACATGTCACAGTAGAGACACAAAATACAAATATGAACCTGAAATGAGCATAATATGTCCTCTTTAAGCCAAACTAATGGCATATCTAGAGGAATGGTTATGTTCATTTTTCAGTTTGTCTGCCCTTTTGGTGCACGCAAACCATCTCACCAACTTTTGAATGGATCACAATCACATGTTCTACTTAAATTCCTGATCACCAGAGGATACACTCTATGGATTGTAGTGGTCCCTTGAAGCTGCCAGTAGGTGTCTATTCATGTGCTTGTTAGTTGTTTAAATAATTTAGATGTATTTTTTGTAAGAACTAAATGATTTAGTATGTAGAAAATAATGAAATGTATCCGAAATACACAGAAAATACCTTATCTATCCAGTAGGGAGCCTGCAATGCCAAACAATGGCCCAGAGGAAGTCTTTCCTCCAAACGTTCTACTTTTATCAGACCCTGAATACTCTGTGTAGTGTGAGGTGACGATGCACACACAATCACAACAGACCGTACGTGCTACTATACACGTTTGTCCACAAGAGAAGAGATCTGAGAGAGCATCGGAGGCTTAAATGGGTTGTAAGGAGAAGATTATCCTTACTTCCCCGAAGGATACACGACCAAGGATTAATGGACTGAACAGAATATTATAGCACTCGATTCTAATTTCCATGCTTTCTCTTGCTGTTCTATGACTTAATGGCTTTTTCATGGCCTGTTCATGTTGTGAAGAGGCTTGCTCACATTATGGCCTCTTTAAGCTCATTATGTATGATATTGATTTGTGACTTCTATGTTTTTTCCTCTGCTGTTTGCTTCCTCTTCTGTTCTCACTCTACAGAATATTGATGTTACCAACTTCAGCAGCAGTTGGAGTGACGGCTTGGCTTTCTGCGCCCTCTTACACACATATCTGCCCGCCCACATCCCGTACCAGGAACTCATCAGTCAAGATAAGGTAGACAAATATAGAAAGATCGCACACACACCCTCAAGTAATATCCTCACACTTACAGTTTAACAGGTGGTTCAGTGCGTAGATGGGTTAGGGAATTGGGCCTACCTGGAACTGTCCCAGGGGCCAAAAGTGTCAGGAACCCCCCTGGGCTCCACCTATAAAATATCTCTGAAAGAGTCATGAATATACTCAAAATGACATCAAACAAACATAAAAGAGAGACAGATAAGCTGCAAAGAGACCAAAACAACAACAAATAGAAACTACATTTCTGCAAAGAGACTGAAAACGACTACAAAGAATTACAAAACAAATACAGAAAGTGATCAGAAATACACTAAAACAAGGACTGTACAAAATGAAAGAAAGCCACTGCAAAAAAACACAAAGCAACACAAACTTAAAGCTAAACAACTAAATAATATGTGTTTTGCATCCGTGTAGGAGAGTCTTCTGAATGCCCAGGGACCCATTATCTCCATTGGAAAGTGCCTCACCAGCAGTTATACAATTCAAAAAGCGCACAATAAAACTGATTGGAAATAGATGTATTTATAGAATACATGTAAAACACTTCTCATGCACCGAGGCTCTCTCCTCAATGTAGTCTTTCCTCACACGCATACATCTCCAACTCTAAATGCAGACTCACTTGTAAACTATGGTGGTGAGCCGCCATACTCATACATCTACATGCTAGCTCTCCCGTTCATATCAGTTTGCAACAGAACAGTGAAGTCACTCACATGTATTGTACAGAGCATAGTGTAAATGTCACAGAGCCCCAAAAAGGTTACCACAACAATGACTGGATGCTTAGCTGACAAAATGATTTCCTGTGTAGGAGGTTGAATTGTTACAGATGAATCCCGAGAAAGCATTTGTTTAGTACGGTAGACTCTTCACAGTGTCTTCGAGGAACTCTACGTTCAAGGAAGTAAAGTTGAGTACAGCAAACAAGTTGCAGACTCAGTGTCATGGTGTCCTCTCCCCAACTTGCAGGCGTGTGCCTCCAGAAAATACCACACATAAAGCCGCAGCAAGTTGTTGTGGAAAACGTGTAAACTGTGAAAACGGTCTGAAAAATATACGTTTACCAAGAGACAAATAAAATCTCTGTAATTATGCATGGAAGCCATTTTCCACCATTAAACTGTGCTAAATTGACTTCCTTTATGAGGCTGTAGACTTTTTATAGGTCTGCCATAATGCCCACACAGCATTAAGAGCAGCCTGAAGATTAATTATGGATGTTGGTGATCCTGAGGATGGCGGCAGGAGACACGCTGTCATGTGGACATGCAGGTGGTTTGGAACTGTACAAACAATATGGCTCCTCTCGCCGCGGCTCTTTCAGCTTGCTATGATATTAAAACAATAGACACACACCTCTGACACATCCTACGTGACAAATGAGTCATGTAGGCATGTGCATCGTTTTGTTGGGGTGAGTGTGTGACATTGTGCTGATGATAGGCTTCTTTCTGAATAATTCAATAGAAGCATGTTGGCTGTAATAACTCGTGCTGAGTGACTTTTCCTGAGGCCCAAACACTGTAACCTTTTCCCAGAATAATATGTCCTTCGGATGATTCCATTACTTCCATCCTTTACCTTTATAGTCAAACTAATATTTTAGGTGAAGGATAAGTCATATCAGTATCAATTCATCATCCCAGTTGTGATGTCTAGTTTCTTTTGAAGAGAATAGTTGGGAATTTTGTATATGGGGTTAGATGAAGTACTAATCCATAATGTGTTATGTACAGTATATGTCATTGTTGTTGACTGTGGCAGAAGGAACACTTTTAGCAACTGAGAAAAATCCATATGAATGTTATTGTGCGCTATGTTTAGAATACTTTCCCCACTTTAACTTGCTGTGAGACAGCCTTTCGACTGACGCCATCATTGCATCTATGCTTTCTTTAAAGCTCCTAGACTCTTTTGAGTTCTGCAAAGTAAAACTATTGTTTTTGTCAAAGGAGTCTTGTGGCTTTTAAGAGAAGGAGAGAGAGAAAGAGAGCATTATATGGGTTTTTGTGCATGTAAATCAGGGGTGCCCAACCTTTTTTTAACCGAGAGCTGCTTTTAAAGTTGCCAGTCTGCCGAGATCTACCAGTCCAAATAGAGAGGCGTAGCCATTACTGACAGGTAAATACACACTTCTACTTGTATAAAACTGACCTTTGTACGATTAATACTTCATAAAATACTGCAGATCCTTTATCTTACCTCTTTCTAATCTACACACATACAAGTATTTAACTGAAGTTACACAACAGTGTTGTTGATACAGAGTTGGAGTTTATTCACACGTCACATACTACCAGGCCCGGACTGGCCATCGGGAGGACCGGGAGGTTTCCCGATGGCCTGGCCTGGCCTGGCCTGGCCTGGCCTGTTAAGTGGCCTGCTGGCCTGAGGAATTTTTTTTATGTATTGTGAACGCAACGCTGCGCAAATGTGGGTCTGACTCTGCCTCACAGAGGGTGACTGGCTGTCTACATGATGTGGCCTGCCGACATGGCCACTTTCATACAGATCATACACTAATGCCCTCGATTGGTCTCGTGTCATTCAAGCTCGGGAGGGTGTGTATGTGTGGCGCGAGCAAGCGAGAGAGAAAGCGCGTGCACTGGTTACGTGTATTGTTGTTGTTAGCATCCGGTGCTAGCTAGCGGCGCTAACGGAATGAGCTGTCGACAAGGTGGAGGAGAGTCCTCTCCAGTCAGACTGAGAGGCTGATAACTACAGCTCAGGTGAGGTAAAGGACTCTGAGTGTTTAGATAGTTAACTTAGTCTAAGTTCTCTGTGGGTCTCAAACGGTTTGGTCACCATTTATGTAAACACATATTTCCATTTGAAGGGGGAGTGATTAGTAAAATATGCATGAATAATACAAAAAAAAAAGTTAACTAGGTGAAAAAAGGTAGGATAAACTTTAAAAACGTATTGAGAGCCTAAAACTAGTCTTTGCTGCTGCCTCAAAGAGGAGCAGGGGGGAGACGGGTGAGGCTGGTTCAGGAGCCCAGACACACTATGCCATGCTAACTATAAATGAACCAAAAACAAATAAATAAACAAGTTTCAATGTTTTTTCATATTGGATATGGTATGTTATTGGTTATGGCCATGTTCTTATGATTTTATGATTATTTAAATGTATACAGTTCTGTTTCATATGGGTGTAGTCTCTTTATTTCCCCCTCAAAGTGCATCAGATTGATGCATTTAAGTCCAACATTTAAAAAAAAAAAATCTTCCGCGGGGAGCATGCCCCCCGACCCCCCTAGAGGATTTGAGGTCCACCTCCACTTAAAATATGTTCACATGGATAGGTTCCTAAATAGATTTGCACTTTTAAAAAAAAATAGTAACCCATGTCCATATGTTTATTCTGGGGTAGTTTTAAAGTTTATGGCTATCACTATGGGCAGCAATGCTGTAAATATTGACAAATAAATCCAGGAAAATTACACAAAATAAAACTGGTAGTGGCCTGGTTGGGTGTATAATTCCCGGCCTGACTTATTGTCCCAGTCCGGCCCTGCATACTACAGTGGGTGATGTTTTCAAGAAACATTGAACAGTGCTGCCACATACTGTATGACTCTGAACCCTTTCTTTGCCATTATATATATTACAAAAATAATCATCCTCACACTCGGAGTGAAAATTATATATGTTTTGCTTCTGCCATAATTGCGGTCTTGTGTGTGTGCGGACTGTCACTCCTGTTGACACGGACAACGTTAGCGAACTAGTACACTGCCCACTGCTCACCAGCCACGCCCCGACACATGGGGTCACGCTAGCCAATCACAAAGCTTTGATGCGTTCAAGTGCATTATTCTGGCACAGGAAGATTATGTTACAAGACATTAACGATAAAACAGAATATTGTTGTTCTATTTTTAGACACATCTCGCGATCGACTGGGAATCTCCCCGCGATCGACCGGTCGATCGCGATCGACTGGTTGGGCACCCCTGATGTAAATGGTCTGCAAAGGCTAAAGGGAGTTCCTCTCCCACACTGCTGAATCTTGAACATTAAAGCATGTCACAGTAGAGGCAAAAAATACAAATATAACATGAAACTGAGAATTATATGTCCTCTCTTCCAAAACACAACTTAAAGAAGGACTGAAAGAACATTTATATCAACGATACTCCAGTAGGAGGACAGTTTGAATGTTAGGTTTTGATTTCTCGCTTTTTTTTCTGTGGAGAAGTGGCTATACTTAAGTCCACAGTTTCAAAATGAGGTATATGGCTGAATATAAAGGAAGGCAGTTCATGGGGATGTCAATTAGGCTCAAAGTATATATGTCTCTTGAGCATTGGTAAGGGTTCATTGTTGCTTCTTGCAGCTCCATGTGTGTTGTTGCAGCATGATGGGGCGCAGTCTAAATGGTTTGTTTTTTTTCAGGTTCGAAATCTGACCTTGGCTTTCCAGGCCGCAGAGAGCATCGGGATCAAACCCTCTCTGGTGAGTTTTGCTGCCACAGACCTCACATACACACTCGGATATCAAACAGAGGTCCTTTGATTAGACACATTGGAAGCAGAACTCTTTAATTTGTCAAACTTGTGGGATGCTTCAGAACTGAGATACCCAACAAACATCATTCCTCCTGACTGTCTGGAGCCTTGCTGTGTCCTATCCGTTACCCAGAGAGATCTCAAAGACCGTGTCCTGGAAATCTGACAAATGAAAAACAAACCTGAAACGTAATTCAGATACAGTGTGACTTTGATAAGCTAAGATGTGAAAACATCAGCGGCTTCGTCACAACTGGCTGAGTAACGACCAGCTGCTCCACGGGCAAAAATATTTAGATTTGGTGAGCACACAAACCGTCCGTGTTTTCTCATGCCGTAAACAACGTGACTTAAATATATTTATTTCAAGTGAAGCAGTGCAATGTGCTTACGGCAGCAAATGTGAAGGTGCATTTGTATCTCTTTTAGGAATAGTGTTAACATGTTTGGCAAATAGGTTCGTTCTTTCTAAAGTTGTGTATACAAATACATACACTCTTATATCTTATATTTAGACACAAATAGAGTGGCGAAGTCACGCCCATCTACTTCCGACCCATGGGACCTTATTTCGGAAAAAGTATGAATTGAAGTCAATGGCATTTGAATTGTGCCACGAATTACACATATGATGTTTGTCAATCTTAAAAAATCATTTCCATGTCAAAAAAGTCACAGTTTGTCGTAAAACTGTTGAAATATAAGACTATGAAAAATACGCAACTAGAAAGACTACAAATCCCAGAGTCCCGGTCCCGCATGCTGGCTCTTACGGAACCGACTAACTCCCCTTGTGTGTACAGCTCTCAACATGCCCAGACTTGGAGTGATTTTCACCTCGTTTAATACTTTTCTCCTCATTCTGAAAGAAAGAAGTGAAATGTTCCAACGTGACGGCTGTCTTGGTGTGTGGTGCGAGACTGGAGATGTAGTTCATTGAGCGGTTTCACACAAAAAAAGTGTTACTTCACAGTTTTACGACACATTTTTATTTTTTTGACTTGCAAAATGATCTTTTCAATTGACAAACATCATATGTGTAATTCGTGGCACAATTCAAACGGGATCGAAAGATAATCTTCCTCTCCCCATTGACTTCAATGCATACTTTTTCTGAAATAAGGTCCCATGGAGGTCCCCCGGAAGGGGAGGGACTTCGCCTCTCTATTCAAATGTATTTTAAATAACCAAAACTGTTCAAAAATGGTAGAGATCCTATTGCTCCTTCTGGGACATTTTAAAAGAAATGTTCAGGTGAATCCAGTGATAATTTAACTCGCTGTGAATTATGAAAAGAATGACGACCTTGACTTGTTGTTTGAATAAACATTCCCTTCACAAGAGCTGTTGTTTTTACACATTCATGATTTTTTTTGTATTCTCATTTAAACAACTATCAGTGGCAGCAGGAATGTGAGCAGTGAACAGTTTAGTGCTGACGAGGGACAGTGAAATCCTCCTGCACAGCTTCCTGTGCAAACAGAGGAGCAATCTGCTGTGAGCTGCAGGGAAAAGTGTTTTACCCCTCAGACATACTTTTATTGGTGTTAACATGTGGACCGTTGAGTCATTTTTAACTATGTTAGAAGTGTTTGCAGAGTATCCGAGTTCTGATAGGGTTAAACTAATGTGACCTCTCCCTCCCTGTTCTACATCATGTGCAACTCTCTCTGCACTCCTTATAAAAGCTTCATGTTTTGAGGAACATGATAAAAAAAACGACATGAATATTTGTTGGATATTTATCCTTAATGAAAGTCTAACCACACTAACTGCTCATAGATGAATTACAAAATCCATAAACCAGTCCAACAGTTCATTTTGCCAGCTGGACGTTAGCGAGGAAGTGAATTAGACTTAAATGTTTTTTCGCTGAGCATGAATATATTTTATTAATCTTCAATTGCGTGCTTGTGGTTAGAAGATTTGAGAGGGGAAACGTATTCCCATTCCAGTGACTTCCAACTAATTCCTCTGTTGCATAAACATTAGCGTCAGACACAGCCCAGAGAGGAGCTGATGCTCCCCCCGATGGGAGGTTGAGACATCGTGGAAATGACTGTGCTGGAGCTTCTGCATTAATCTGAGCCAAGGGAAGCTGCAGTGACGCCGGCTCCATACGGAGTCATGTGAGGGCCGCTCTGTCTGACTCATCCCTGTCGGACACCATTAGGCTCTGAGTGGACTTTTGCAGCTTCACACAGATCCTCAGTGTTATATAGAGAGTACTAAGAATACTGTAGATACTGCAGCATCAGGTCTAAAACCACCACTCATTCCACAGGCCATGAAACTGTTAAACACCTGAACTAAGAACATCCATAACATTCACCTGTTTGTAACTTACAAATCATGTATCACTTGTATAGACTCTTATGGCACTTCTTCTATTCTATTCTATTGTATTTACTTGCACTATTTGATCTGTTTCATTGTGTTGCACTGTTGGAGGAGCCTGTGACCTAAGATTTTCATCGACATAACTACACTGTAGCTTTGTACGAATGACAATAAAAGCCTTGAACATTGAACCTTCTCTGCAGCTTAAACACATTTTCTTGATGGTTTAAAATATTATCAAGACAGGAAGAAGGGGAATAATATTTACAGGGAAAAAAACTGAATTTTCGACAGGAAAGTAGTTAATTTCTGAGGAAACAATCGTGAGTATTTTAACTGTAGTTGTAAACCTCCATGAAAATATCCGAGCCCTCTAAATGTTCTTTCCTCCCTCTGTGTGCTCCACCAGGACATGGAGGAGCTGGTGAGGACGGACAGGCCGGACTGGCAGAGCGTCATGCAGTACGTCTCTCAGATCTACAAGTACTTTGAGACCTGACTGGGGGGGGCAGGAGCTGGAGACCAATGGACCAGAGGCACCGCAGCACGTTTCTGTCACCGTCTGTCAGCACGACATCACCTGAAACCCCCTCCTGACCCCCCCTGCTCACTGTCTGACACTAGAGACACGACTAAAGACATTTCAGATGCTGATTTCTCACATCTTAACAGGACGTTACAGTAAGCGCTAAGGCCGTCATTTACAAAGACTGCAGTCAGGAAACACATTACCTTGTTCATCATTTCACCCCAAAAATAAATAATGCATGTTGTTCCTTTTACCTTTAGTGCTGTTCATCAACCTAGATAGTTTTGGTGCATGGGGTTTGGAGAGTGTTGGAGATATCGACTGTACAGAGGTCTGCCCTCTCATATATATTGGAACCAGATGGCACTCGTCTTGTGGTGCTTAAAGTGCCAAAATGAATACATTTCACAGCAATTTTTTTTTTTACCTGAAACCATGACCTGGTCAAGATAATCCACAGATGTTGTTGTTGGCGGTTTTATCTAGGAAATACTTTCTTTTACAGGATTACCGCTTAAAAAGAAGCATGAAACTACCCATAGCCTGAAGGCTTACGAATGGCTTGGACTTGTGTGAAAGAAACTAAAATAGTTCCTGAATACAACTGTTAAAACATTCTCTGTGGATTAGCTTGAGTGATAGGGTCATGATTTCTGCAAGAACGCATTGCTGTTAAGTTTTTCAAACGTTTGGTTCCATCACACTGGAGAGAAGGCAGGCTTCTCTATGGGTAATGATGCAACTCATAGCAAAACATCTGACTGATAAATAACACCACAGGTCAAAGGAAAAGTCTGTATTTGTGATTCTTTGGTGGACTTTCCCTTTAAAGTATTAATTGAGCATCTGATTCACAGATTAAAAGCAGAATATGCAGTTGAATAGAAAGCACTACTGAAGGAATATTAAGAACTTCTTTTTTTAAATCGTTCTATTTCTATTTTGAAATAATTGACAAGAAAACAAACTTTTTCACAAAACAATTTCTTTCCATGTTTGTGAATCAAATGCTCTGAAATGGTCAAAACGTGCCAAAACCTGTATTCTGCCAGAGTGTCTATGCATGGGGAAACCTCCCCTCTCCTTCACTGAACAACATCAGCAACCAGGGGAAAAGTGTGAAGACTTTGGGTAAATGTTTTTCCGTTGCTTTAACGAATCGATCAGTTCTCATTCTGAGTGCTTACTGCAGAGCTGGAGTCACCACTTAGCAGAGAGTATCAAAGTGACAGCTGAAGCTTTTATACCCCCCACTTTTAAGTGTGTGCTTCCTTAAGAGCACAAATCAGACGAACCATTGCTGCTGTAAGCGAAACAACACTAATAATGATTCAACACTCTGAGAGTTACTGAATAGTTTTGTAGGAATATATTTGATGGAATCAGATCTCTATGTTTGCATCGTCTGAAGGACTGGCTGAATCAAACTGTTCTCCTCCACCAGGACTCTATGGTACTGCTGCTGCTTGGCAAACGATACATATTTGGCATGCCATGTTAAATAATAAAGAGAGGATTACTTTTATATGTAAGAGTTGAGAAACAACACTTTCTGTGTTATGGTTTACATTTGCAGATGCCCTTATGGTTTGAAAAATAAAAGTGTTATTTATTTATTTACAAGACTTGAGAAGTGGGACTGTGGACAGAAGTCAGGGTCCAGTTTTCTATTTAAGGATGTCACATTTGTAAGTGTGTTGGATGGATATGCTCAATAAAGGATTATCAAGTTTTATATTTCATTATTCACATTTGTATTATTATGTCAAGGCAAACAGATTTTCCAGAGAAATTATTCTAAAATATTGAGAGATGCTGTTTTCTGAAGAGTAACTTCTTGCTGTGATGGTTTAAATCCTTATATATATGTGTGTATATATATATATAACATGTGCAGGACTTGATATATCACCAGTTAAACAATACTGACCTTACGACAAAGGCATTCAAACGTTCCCCTCGCTCTGTGCAGCGTTGCCTGACTTCCCCACTACTTAAACACTGTAAATCACATCCACATTAACCACCAGTGGTGGAAAGTATCTAAGTATATTGACTCAAGTATTGTACGTAACTTTTTTTGACATATTTGTACTTTATTTGATTATTTCCAATATGTGCTACTTTATACTTCTTCTCCGCTACAATTCAGAGGCCAATATTGTACTTGTACTGCATTGCAATTGTAACACTCATCATAACTTTGTACACAAAAAACACCTAAAATATGGTATCTTTTAGTGTACTACTAATCTACACAGGATAATAAACATTATACGATAATCTGAAAAGTACTTTTACTTTTGATACTTGAAGTACATTTAGCTGATAATAGTACTGTATATTATAAAAGATCATTGTGCAGAATGAGTATTTTAACTGATTGTAGGCCTACTTTAAGTATATTTTGATGCTTATACTTTTGTAATTTTACCTAAGTAACATTTAGAAATCAGGACTTTTAATGGAGTACTTTAAGACCATAGTATTTGTACTTCTTCAAACACTGTTAACAACATTATTTTATTAGAGGTACCACTTAGATATCATGAAAAGACCTCACTTTATTAAAGATGCTACTGAGGGGGTCCATATCACGATGAAATAAAAAATAACAAAATAAAAAAGGAAGGGAGAAATATTAAACTTTATTTTATAAAACACTACTAAGAAATGAATTCAATATAATGGGTGTGACGAGAATAAAAGCATCGATCCGAGGCTTTTGTCGATAAAGTGCAAACTTGCTCTTGTTTCCCAGACCCAGGAGTATCATATAAATATTACTTTTACTCTGACTTCTTCTCCTGCGTTTGAGTAGGCCAGGGGCGGAAGATATACAATATCCTGCAAACACTGTAAAACGGGAGTAAATATATCTATTTTGGCCTCCACGAAGTCCCTGGCGTGGAGGCCAAAACAACTGTAATTGAAACCAGGAGCAGATGCGCGTGTGGGCGAGCAGTGCAGACACGCGTGTGTACTGTACAAACAACACTGCATTAAGATTGAAATGAAAGTGTATGCGGTTTAATTGGCGCGCAATTACGCACGGCGGACAGGGTGACGCTCGTTCGGGATTCCACCCTAATCGACTTGCTCCGCGCTTGTGTTTCGGTGTGTGTTTGAGGCGTGGCTTCTCTGTGAAATTGATTTTTTGGTCCCTCTCTTTTTTTCTTGTGTGTTCCCCCTGCGCTTCAAAACCTCTGTCGGGGGGAATTTGCGCGACACACCGCCTGCTGCAGATCCACAGATGAAGCGCTCCACAGATCTATGTGTGTTTGTGTGAAAACATCCAGACACGATGTACAGGCTCATTAAGGTGAGGGGATCAGCAAAGGGACTTTAATCTGTTGAAGGTGTACACTCCTGCAGCAGGCGTGGGCAGGGTGGATGCATGTTTACGCAGCTCCTGCAGCTTTTGTCAACTTTGTGGTGTTTTTATCTTAATATGAAGTTAATCCCTTTCTTCCCAACAGATGGCTGGCTCTGCAGCTCACACTTGTGGAATATTCCTGGATTACAGCAGAAAGACTTCTTTGCTCCTCTGGGATTAGAAGCGGTGTTTTTTGTGGGTTTTTGAAATCAGCCTGCAGCTTTTAGTCCTCTAACACACTTTGCTGACATGGCTTCGTTGTACATCTTTATTGAAGTAGTAATCGCGGTTCTCTCCATATTCGGCAACGTACTGGTGTGCTGGGCTGTCGCGATCAACACCACCCTGAAGAACGCCACCAACTATTTCCTGGTGTCCCTGGCTGTGGCGGATATTCTGGTGGGGTGCCTCGCCATTCCCTTTGCCATCACCATCAGCATCGGCATCCACCTGGACTTCTACGGCTGCCTCTTCCTGGCCTGTTTCGTCCTGGTCCTGACGCAGAGCTCCATCTTTAGCCTTCTTGCTATTGCTATTGATAGATATCTGGCCGTGAACATTTCTCTGAGGTGAGTTTTTTTTAATTACTAGTGTGGATTTATTAAGAAAATGCTTTTTAGCTGATTAAAGTTATTTCCCCATCTGACAGGATAAAGGTAAAGATGGAGAAAGACCCTCATTAACACCCATGTCCCCTCAGATCAATATAGGTGATCCCTTGTGTGCCAAATAAGCTTAAAAAACACATTGACATCCCTTCATCCTTATCTGTATTAAAGAGCCGTAAATGTTGGCATGTGTCCCCTATGGAAAATAATTGAATTGGGGTCCTGGAAGATGAGTATCTGCTCTGTGACCTCATGAATCAGTCTCCTGTGCAGCTTAATGCCTCATGTACAAATAGCCGGATTGATATCTAAATGCGGACTGATACCCGGATAATACCTCCGCAACTGTGAAGTCCACTTAGACAAATGTAACATTTGTGATATTGGGCTATATAAATAAACATTGATTGATTGACATTGATTGATTGATTGTATGTGATGTTAGAGAAACACTTTGAACTGTTTTATACCTGTGATTGAACATCTAAAGGGATTACCTGTTGCCACCTTCACACAGTGGAAGAAGAAGTCTTAACTCTGACACGTAAAGTCATGCATTTAAAGTTGCACTTTTGTAAAATACAAACGTTTTTCATAATATTTCACAATTCAAAATATACCTTTAGCACAAAAGTGAAAATATCGATATTATCTTTTACAGTTTAAAACGACTGTGGAATGTAACCCCATCGCTTAGATTGTAATTTAATTATTAAAGCTTAACAGCCATCATGGGCATATATTATATTACTGTAACATATTTATTGATGGGTTGAATGGGTTCATCATTTTATTGTTGCAGCTTGTAGAAATGTTTTGGTTGATATTGTGCATTATTAATCAGGTAACTAAAGCTGTCAGATAAATGTAGTGTAGTACAAATATTTCCCTTTGAGATGTAGTGGAGTAAAAATGCACAAGCACCTCTAATTTCTACTTAAGTACATTACTTGAATTAATGTAATTAGTTACTGTCCACCGCTGCCTTCCATCCATCAGTTCCTCCTCACTTATTCTCCTCCTGCGGCTCTTAAAAGATGCAGGGATCTGACTTGTGTTTGATGCGGCACGGGGGGGGGAGCTGCGGATCGATACCTGGCTCTGTCACTTCCATTCATCCTGATGGTTCAGGCCACCGAGCTCTCCCGAGGCGGCACAGTGCTGCTGGATATTTCCCTGAATCTTTATTATCAGATGGCAATTGTCTGTCCCTGTTATTTCTGGCCTCTCACCGTATCAGAGTGTGGTGGATTTGTTCTTAAAGGCGGCACCGGCTGCTGTGATTTGTTGTTGGCCCTTGGTTGTGGTTCTGCTGCCTGTTCTTGCCATGGGGCTGTGGTGTGCTGTCATTTCCATTACACTCATACGCTGGCAAGAAAGGACAGTTTGACACTTAGTCGTGTTAAAAAAGAAATGTTCCCCCACCAACCAAGTGGTATGTAAAGTCCCCATTTGTAATTCTATTTCTGACCACAGACAGAAACCAAATGAGGACAGAAAACACGGGTCACGCCTGTTACATTCTCTGTAAAAGGTTTTTGAAAATGACATTTGATAGTTTCCCCTGAAAGCCCAGCATCACAACACACACACACACACACGTGATCATAAAGCCAGTGTGTGTGCGGCTCACATTACATGTCCACAGTGTTTGGCCGGTTTGCAGGCCATCACATGAAACTGTTTTTACAGATGGTTTTAGTGGAAGTGAAAGGCTGAACCCAGATGTTTTAAACCCCTGGAAATGACAGAGCTGCCCACCCACTCAACGCTCTCTACGAGCCCCCGTCTTCCCCTGTTTGCTGTTCTGAGAGAAAAAAAACCCTCTTGCTGTTTGTCCCTCTGTCCTTGTCGGGGGCTTTCGAATAACCTTTAACACATTAGAGACGCCAAAGGGTCGTCCCCACCATCAGGCCTGCCTCAGCATGCACAGGAAAAGTAAGAATGATAAATTATTGCATTCTTCCTGTCTTTGTTTCAGCAAATGATGGAGTGGTGATGGGTGTGGTACAATGTCATCCTTTGTATACATTCTGCTTTATTGCCTATTTAATGAGGTACTCAACAATTGTCAGTGATTTAGCTTCAGTAAATGGCGTCCAGTAGATGGTAGGTTATTTTGGATGTCATAAAATAACACAAATACCTCACTGGTGGAGGCAGCAGTAGACCCGCACCTCCCATGGTCTGCAAGGTAAAATGACTGTTTTTGTCAATGAAGTCTGGAAGCTTTGAAGAGAGCTAAATAATTCCTTGGAACAGGCTGGCTCACGGCAAAGTAAAGCAGTTAAAATATCCTAAATAAAGCTTACACTTATACTGATATTGTTTATGTTGTGCTGCTGCCCCTGTCCACATTAGCACAATGCTTTACTTCTGTGATGGTGCTCAATTTATTCTCCAAACAGGAGATCCACCATCTGCCGTAGGTGATACACTGAGTAGGGAGGATAAGTACCTCATACAACCCCACTTCAAAACATCCAAAGTAGTATAAGAGTTGAAGAACTAAAAACATCTGATACATTGATATTGAAAAATAATTCTAGGGAAAACAAATTCCGTAGAAATCTATCTAAACGTCAACATCTGTTGATTTGATGAGTATATTGATACCACCCCCACACAGGAAGCTAACGCAAGGAAGCAGTTAGCTTAGCTTAGCACAAAGACAAATCAAGGGGAAACAGCAACACAGTCCGCCTACCATCACCGCTTAAACTCTCCAATATTATGTAATATTGTGTTTTTTTACTTTTGTTATATTTCTCTCTGTTGAAAGTAAGACTCGCTAAAATAGTGACAGCAAGTATATGTACAGAATCGATACAACTAACTACTTGACATGTTTGTAAGTGAGCTTTAAAGGTGATGTTAGGGTGTGTTTGAGCTTATGACAGAGCCAGGCTAGCTATTTCCCCATACTTCCAGTTGTTATGCTAAACTAAGCTAAGCTAATAGACTCCCCACTTAAACTAAATACTTAACTGACAGAGATGAGAGTCAGTCATCTGACTCTTGACAAGAAAAACACATGTCCCGAAATGTCGAATGATAATTTGTTTCACTTTTTCGTGAAGGACTTATATTTTTCCTTTAACTTGTCCTCTGTCCTCATGTCTGCTAGAGCCACTGAGAGTTTTAAGAGCTGTTGAACTGGAAAGTTGAGCAGTCACCATTCATCGAATAACCAATCCGTTGTCAACATTTAAGTTTTGATAATCAATTTGATACAATCAGTTTCTTCACTTGTTGTTGACTAAACTAGACATTTGAAGACGTCCTCCTAGGCTTTTGGACTCTGATCTGTATTGTTTTGACCATTTTCTGATCAATCAATTGATTCCTAAAATATAAAACAGATCATTTGAAAATAAATCAATCAATCAAAAAGCCAAAAATCATTTGTTGCAGGCTAAATCTGCCTAATATGCTACACTTATGATGACTATTTGCAGGAAGTTGTTACTGTTTATATTATTGCAGTGAAACCAAGCTGACGACGACAGCCACTATTTTCTAAGAGAAAGAAAACTACCTAGCCTACAGGGGGTTTTAATACTTCAAAAATAGATTTGGAGTTATCACTTTAGTCATCAAGGATCAAAATGAGACAAGTGTAGCTGTTGAGCTTCTTGACAGCGAGACACACTGTTGCACTGTGGGAAAGCACGTCCATACTTCCCAGGAAGCCATACAGAGATGACATCCTTATTTACTTTTCTCTCTTCTGTCTAAACAATATTTGCATCTTAATTGGACCGTGACAGCTTTAAAATAAAGAACTGTGTTTGCACACTTTTATTAACCATGTGATGCGACTTAGCAAAAGTCACATAAATGCTGCGTAGCTCTGTTAGCCCCACACTGAGGGGAGTGTGTCTGTGTGGTGAGTGTGAACGGTCACCTGTTAGACTGTGTGTGAAGCAGGGCAGCGGATGTTTCAGAGTGTGTGTGGCCCTGCCGGGGTCCGTGGCCCCAGGCGGAAGCACAGCGACATAGAAAGAGAAGGGGATGTATGGAGAATGGAGCAGGGGACGAAAGCAAAACAAAGATAGATGTCAGCGGGCTGTCGTCATGCCAGAACTAATCCGTTCAGCCTCCACAGAAAGAGCGGGCGGGGGGGGGCAGGAGTTGGGTCCTCTGGGAAACAGGCCCCTGTGCGGCTGGCTGTACTTGTTATGGACAGTCATAGGGGAATGGGAGACGTAGAGGAAGGTGTATAAATGTGCCGAGGTCATCCTGAGCTCTGAAGCTTCCCTTGAGTTGTTTTATTCATGGCCCCCGGGGCAGGCTGCCCACCTCCCTGCAGGGGGGCGCAGCACAAAGGCCCCGCTGCACACCACTGATGAATCATTGACTGTTGGGAATATTACAGTTATTATAGCAGGCTGTTTTTGTAGGGCTGCAACTAACTTATATGTTTCGTCATCGATTAATCTGCCAATCACTTTTAGGTTCATCCTTTTGTCAGAAAATAGTGAAACATGTCCATCCCATTTCCTAAAGTGTGATGTTTTTGAATGTGTCTTGGCAGTCCAAAACCCCAAATTATACATTTTCAGCCATTTTTGCATTACAAATTACTTTTAAATGATTTTCAAAATAGTTAGCGAGTAGTTTTCTGGTCAATATGTGGACTAATCGCAGCAGCTCTACACTAATGATTAAGTGTTGTTCCTTTAACATGGCTTTCATTTTACTAGCAAATTCTCCGCACCTGAAACCCTGATGGCACACGCTTCCTGTCACGGCTATCAAATTCTGAGGGAACTGCGGCTCGTTGAACCCACTTCCTCTTTGCCTGGCTGCATTTGCAGCCTCTAATGGGATTGCCTCATTTTATTGTATTTTTATAGAAATCCCATTAAGAATCCCATTAAGAATCCCAGGCCGACAATATAAATATAAACTTTACCTTAATGTCACAGAACTACTACGTTTTCAAAAAACATTCAAAAAGAGAGAAAAGAGAAGCACTGTTGCACTGGGTTACAATTCCATTCAGTTTTAAACACAGTATTATCTGCACCTAACTTAACAGGCAGTATACTATGTTGTGGTTAGAAATACATCTGACTATAACAACACATTTACACTGAGCTAATGAAAGGTTTTTTTTCATGAGGATGGCGAAGGGTGGAACAACTATGTACATTTAAGAATTAATATTTAACTTGTTGAGCAAATGAAATACAGACAAAGTTGATTTTGCATAATTCTTCCACTTGAAATAGCCTGACCTTATGCTCAAATGATTTATGGCTAACTGATAGCGTTCGTTTCTGCAGAACACTGCTTTCTGTCTCTTTTTTATTTGGCTGTAAATAGTTACGAGGACAGGAAGCAAGGGGATAGAGAGGTGATATGAACTGTTTGCATTGAGGTAATGTGGCCTGTTGCCTTCCTGCATTTCTTATGTCTGATCCGTTTAAAGATGTGAGAGTCTGCAGCGGTGATATCAGCACAGTGAAGTGAAACAGCAGACTGACTGAGGAGTTCTGTGTTGTGGTGACTGAGCCTACAAGAAGGAACTCTGCAAATACTCTATGTGCTTCAGCCATAAACTATACTTCACCATTATTAATACAAGTTTACAAATTATTCTTAAAAGATCAGTGTGCCTTCACTTTTTACATAATCAAGCCTGTCTTACTACAATACTTCCACTTAATTACATGTACATTGGAAGAGTTATTACATTCAATTGTCCTCCATTGTACTATTAACTGTGGACTTTCCCTATCGCTTACATTTTAAAGGGACCACTTCTAAGCCATTCCATAAAAAACGGAATTTATTAAAGCGACCAATAACTCTCCGAGTATCCATATTAGGAAGTAGCCTAAATATTGTTTAGTCTACTTTGCAATGTGAACCTATCCTTCAACGTGATAATACATCGTTTTTAATTAGCAAGTAAACAGTTATCATTAATTATCATGATTAAATAACTAATTCATCATTCACAAAGGGTTATTCAACATAAATGGCTTATGAATTATAAATGACATGACAGATCAATATAAAATAGCTTACTCAATAGAGTAATGATTATTCAATCATTAACTAATGGATTAATGACGTTTTATCATTGATTGTGATTATAACTGCAAGTCACATTTGAAGTGCTAATTAGGTGTGATGATGTCCTGTGCAGCTGGCTGTAGAGATCAGATGATTTGTGGCACCAGCTCAGTCTGCTGTGTGTGTGTGTGTGTGCGCGCGCGCGCGTGCGTGACCATGTGTGAGTCATTACCATAAGGTCGCTCGCCTGAATCACTTCTAAGCGAACAGCTCATTTAGCCTGCAGCGCTGTGCATATGATGGGGACGGCCAGAGCTGCCTCTGTGCACCTGCCGCTCATAACTTCAGATCATATTTTAGTGAGGAGATGGCTTTATGTAAAACATTGTGAAATGTAACACTCAATATTCACCTGTTAATCCAAAGTGAAGAACACAAGATGTGGCAATGTAGGCATCACACTACAAAAAGCACTTACAAAGTTTACAGAGTAAAAGTGTAAAAATGCTGTTTCATTTCTCCTCTTCAAGACTTGATACTGTATTGGTGTGGCACAGTTATAGTATCTGCACATACAGTAAACACAAACGTGTTAACCGGCTTCACACCCCAAGGGAGGCATGTGTTTTTATTTTTGGTGTTTGTGCAACACAGGATGTGAGAAACTGAAAGAGATAGCGGCAAGTTTCATGCTTTCATTTAGCAGCTGGTGATATTCTCAAGGGTAACATTTAAAGAGGACATATTTATATTTGTGGCCTCTACTGTGACATGTCTCCATGCTTTAATGTTCAAAAAGCTCTTTATTTTTCTCATACTGCCTGTGCTGCAGCACCTCTTTTCACCCTCTGTCTGAAACCAGAGCCCAGTCTGCTCTGATTGGTTAGCTAGCCGGCTTATTGTGATTGGTCAACAGCTTAGAGATGTCTGTGTCTGCGTGGTGCATCCATGCTACCAATGAGCTCCATCAGGATGTGGGGTCCATCATTGAGATGTTAAGTGTCTTCAAATCAAACATGGAAACCAAACATCATTATTAAAGTCATATTAAAGTGAACTGTTTAGCTTTCGTCACTAACAAGGCTTTCAGGCCGAACCCTTTCTCTGACCCGTTTCTGTTATATTTGTACTTTATTGAGGTTTTGTGGTTAACTGTGTATATGTTTAGCAATGCTAGCAGCATGGCCCCATAGACGGTCATGTTAGTCTGTCAGACATGCCTCAACAATTATTGGATGGCTGCCATGACATTTGTTACATACATTCATGTCATCCTAAGGATACATTCTAATGAACCATTCCTGCTAAACTAATGGCAGTCCCCCCAGCTGTGCCTTGTGTTTAGAGCTAATTCTCAGACGTTGAATGTTAACATGCTAAACTAATACAACATTATACTGGTGCAGCCTCACTGTGCTGATAGCCTGGATTTAGACTCTTGCTGTTTCTTTTGTCAGAGTCCTGCTGCCCCCCCGGACTGGCTCCATTCAAATAACTAAGAACACTGCAATGTAGGGCTAAAGCGGTTCTAAATCCAGCGTCGTGTTGACGATGCTGTGGGAAGGGGATTATTATCTTAATTAACTAAAAAGTACAAAGAAAAGACAGAGGACGATATTTCTTGCACCAACACTTGCACCAAGTCACAGCGAGTCACCATCCCACTTGATCATTTCTATCGTCTGCCAGATTCTCGGCCATTATTAGCCCGATGTGCATTCTGCTGCACAGCTGGAGGTACTGGAGAGTAACGTGTTGTGTCAGTAAGGCCACACCAGCTCACTTTCTGCAAGAAAAATAAGTGTAACATTCTCTGTGGGCTTCTCCAAAACATGTGGTGTGAAGTTTGTCTCAAATCCTTTTCAAGACTCTCACATAACTTCTCCATCAAAGCCTTCTAAGAAATCTAAGAGAACAATTGTCTCATATCACAATATTAATACTATAAATATGTGTCCCTACTAAAAGTTACCAAGTTCTAGAAAGAGCAATGTGCTAGCTTTAATCATGTTGGGATGTTGATACTTCGAGAAAAATAATTTAAGATGCAGGAATGTAAAAATCACATTGTACAAAAAAAGGAAACACACCCAAAAATATGTGTTTTATCTGTTTCACCTGGGATGAACTTGATCTCAAGAGCCTACTTTGAGAGATATTTGACTGAATCTTCAACATTTAAACGTATGTTAGATGCTAACCTCTGCTGTGTTTCCTCCAGGTACAAGGAGTTGATGACGGGAAAGACCGCCAGAGAGATCATCGCTATTTTATGGATCCTCTCCTTCGTCATTGGCCTTATCCCGTTCTTTGGATGGAACTTGAAATACTCGCGCTGCAACAGCTCTGTGGCGGACAATGCTACGAACGCCAGCCTGGTGAGGCGGGGGGGACACTTACTGCAGAGCTGCCACCTCCAGTGCTACTTTGAGAGCGTGGTGGACATGCACTACATGGTCTACTTTAACTTCTTTGTGTGCGTGCTGCCGCCGCTGCTCATCATGCTGGGCATCTACATCAAGATCTTCACCGTGGCCAGGAAGCAGCTGCGGCAGATCGAGCTCAAGTGTGTGGGCAACGGGGACAGCCAACACCACGGGCTGCTGCAGAAGGAGATCCGTGCCGCCAAGTCCCTCTCCATCATCGTGGGGCTGTTCGCCGTCTGCTGGTTGCCCGTCCACATCCTCAACTGCCTCACGCTGTTCTACGACCTGACACAGCCCGTCCACGTCATGTACGTGGCCATCATTCTGTCCCACGCCAACTCCGCCGTCAACCCCATCATCTACGCCTACCGCATCCAGGACTTCAGGAACACCTTCCGGAAAATCCTGGCCCGACACTTCCTGTGCCGCAGGGAGGAGCTGTACCACAGCTCCAACGGCAGCAGGCACAACAGAGACCAGATCCACATGACCATCGACCCTCTGCTATAGAGCGTTTGACTCTCACTGAGGTCTTTAATGTTTACAGAACGAGGGGATGATATGTGAAGATGAACTGATGACAGACGCGCCTTGAATGTGGACATTTATTTATGAATCGGCGGTCAATCAGTGAAATGTTGAATGGCGAGTCTTACGTAACCCTTGTATCGTGAAGGATTATCTTTGAAAAACATGTTGAAGCTAACTGGATTCGTAGGACTGTGAACAGGATCCAAACTACATTCTATAATGCTATTTATCATTCTGAATCCACTCCGTTTCAACTCCAAACACCTTTAATGCCCTGCTATTTTATATTGTCAACAGTGTTTATTAATTTATTTATTAAAAGACCGTATCTTATGAGAATATAGAGATCAAAAAATGTTGTGTGGCTATATCTGTGCTCGTGGACCTAGAGAGGTACAATGGTATACTACATCTGTTGTTGTTTTCGCCTTGTGGCCGTTTTAAGATTATTTTATGCTCATGACCATCACAAGCTAAATATAGAAGAAGGGTAACACCACATTTGGACAATCAGCCTACAGATTTGTAACAATTCAACAGCTTATTAGTCGAGATTCAACAATTCAACTGCTACTTTGCTAGGTTTGTCTGTATGGTGAAATACTGTTAAACAACTAAAGACAAGCAGGAATGGTTGAATCTAAAGTAATGAGCGTTTGAAATTAAACAAATACTTTTGATAGGCTGAGTAACAAAATACAGTGTTAACACAGAATGAAGAACAAAATATCTTTATAAAGCAGAAATGTTGTTGAACAGATGCTTCAACTTCGCACCAGTGTTAATTTTCTCCTGCATGAGGGAATACTCCACAACAAAAACACATATTGGAAAAGGCCTCAAACCAAACAAGAAGAGGGAAAAAATGCCTAATTGCTCTGCTTGTCCCACGAATCATCTCCCTTCCCAAATAAACGGGTGACCCCTGAGAGCCAGAGAACGACAACGTTTTGGGTATTAAATAAACGGCATGATTTGACTCAGCCCAAGATACAAGAAGGAATTTAGTAAAACACACCTCCAGAGCTGCTTCACGTGACTCATGTGAAGAAAGCAAAAGCTCAGGCAGTGTATCCCTGCATAGAAAATCTAAATACTTCAAACAATGCAAATTAGATACCGATTTATTACCAGAGCTTCTGTTGCACATGCATGTAATGGCTTACATCATTCAGTGCGGTGTATATGAATGTCACTTACTCACATCCCCCCCCCTTCACTCTCAAAGTCAGACAGTCTCAGCTGGGATCCTCAGGCACTCTCTGTCCTGTTAGCGCAGTCTGTCCTCCTCAAGCTGCTGCAGTCACTCACTGACCTGAGATCAGCTGAACTTGAAAAAATAGCTAAATGAATTGTATTGAGGACTAATCAAACTGCTAAGGCACACCATTTTAACTCTTCCACGCTAGCAAAGATGGGTTTGTATTAGTCTATTTTAGCCCCCCAAAAATTCCTCAATCCTGAATTCCTGAAATAAAAGGGGGATGTGATGCAATAAAAAAGTGCGAAATAAAAAAAGGGAGTATTCCCTGAGTTTATGAGTTATGAATTAGCTAGAAGAACCTTGAAAGGTTGGATCAATCTTATTACAACACAGACCAGATGTGACTTTTTTTTTTTTTTCTGAATATTTGAATTTATTTATACCTACACCCGAATATGCCTGTCATACGAATAATTTGTTCTCTGAGAGGAAACATTATTTCTTATTTGCAAAGGTACTCGCATGCAGGTTACTCGTTTGAGGCAACACAGCTGCAGCACCGAGTCAAACCTTAACGCACCTGATGCTTTAGTTCTTTTTTGGAGGGGGGTGTGGTTGAGCTTATGAGACAGAGCCGATGAATCACCCAGAAAGGTCTTGGTGAATTTAATCAGAGCACAGCAGAGTTTTGCTGGGAGTATTGTGAATTTGTAATGTGACAGAAAAAAAGGGTGAACTTAGTCACCTGAGAGCCATCACTACACAAATGAAAAAACACATTGCACTGACATTTTCACTGACGTATTTCTCATTTGGTGTGCTTCATGGGTGCTGTTGAACCATGTTGTGTTGGTGTTGACTTCAGTGCTTCACTATACCCCCCCACATGTCCAGTGTACCACCTCTCACTAACTTCAAGGGCTAAAAACAGGAGTGTGCCAAAGTGTAAGTACATTCCAATGGAGACATCTATACTGTAACTGCACTGTGACGTTGTATTACTGTCGTTGTTGTGTAAACAATAAGTACTGTAGGTGTCTGGCTTTCTACGAGCTATTGATTGATGTCAAACTATTGCCTTCTTTTGTGATTCTAAATGTGAGACAGACAAAACCGAGTTGATCTAATTCAACATTCCTGCCTTTCATTCCCGAGTTCCTGTCAGTGTGCTGTAGTGTTGTTACTAATCAGGAAGCATCCACTGTGGTCAAGCCTTCTCCCTTTCATCCAACTAAACTACAACTGATACCGCTATTTAACATAATGCAATCTGTATGTATTGTGAATTATTTTGTTAATAAAGGCAATGTTTATATTGTTAAAGGTGAGTTTTTATTACTGAAATGTATACGATTTATATTTACAAATTACATTTTTCAGGTTTTTAAAAAAGGAGCAAAAAATGTAGTTTCCAGAGAAACAGATGAAATATCTGGTGTCTTACAGAGAGACAAATGAAAGAGTTTAAACTGCAGTTGTGTTCCCGTCCTCCGATCCTCTGCAGAGACCCAACGTGTAGGTTGAGAACATCGTTCTTTAGGGGTAGTACTGAACATACCTGGGGGTCACAGAGGGGCTGTCCCACTCAACAGTGCGGACATCTGCGGATCAGACACGCTCTCCTGCTGAGTCACAGCCATGGCCTGACACAGGTACACAGCCAGGATGTGTTTACACTGTGGACAAAAGAGCACAGACTCAGGCCCCGGCCACACAAGGACGAAAACGGCTAAACGCATAGGATTAACGCAAACGCAATCGCAAAAAAGCTTCCGTCCACACGCAATATTCACCGGATAGTGTCTGTCCACACGAGACAGCTCCCTTTAGCTCCAACCGCTGGAGAAGCTGCAGTACATATGCAGGAGCCTGTACGTGGCGCTGTAACTTCCTCCTCCACAAAAGCAGTGAAGAAGCATGGTTATCATGGTTGCTCTTCTGTTTATTCTCCGCGGTGGGGGCCGAGGGAACCGGTCTGTTTCATGCAGCAGCTGATCCAGTAATGAGTGACCCGGCCGACAGTAAAAATAAACATATTTATAACTAGTTTAGGTAGTTTGAGAGGTGTCTCCGTCCTGTCAGATTAGACTTCACTCGCATTTATGTCCATATCGAGAGAAAGATAAATAATCTGAATTCAGTGTGCAGTTTACTTTGACGCAGAGGTGGGGAGAGGTGGGGCTATTGCCTCATCATTATCAGAAAATGATCGTATAGGGCGTACACACGGAGCCGTTGGACCCCCCAGAGCGTTGCGTATGCCGTTCTATCCACCTTGGGACCCGTTATCGTTTCCGCAGTCGTTTAGTGCCGTATTCGGTCGTCCTCGTGTGGCCGAACGGTCTATATGACACTAAACAGTAACGCAAACGACCGTTTTCGTCCTCGTGTGACCGGGGCCTCAGTCATTGAACATCAGTGTGATTAATGGCACAGAGGTGAAGAATGGCGCTTTGGTCATTTCAAGTCAGACTAGAGAGGAGCTGCTGCTGGAAATGTCCCCACTGATTAAACCTCAACACAAGTCATTAGCTACAACTGCAAGGAGTATATCCAATATTGATATCACATTGATTATTATGAGTGTATTATTTTCCTAACGGTGTGTGTTAAACTAGACGTAACTCTTGTAGCTAAATGACGCAAAGGCCTGCAGTCCAGCGTCCGTGTGCATGATTCAGTGAACATGTGTCACTCTTCTCATTACTATCAACATCAACATGTTAATCAGTGACTTATTTCCACCTTCAGCCTATCCATGCATTTTACATGAGATTTCCTCCACACTAACATGCCTGTGGATGAGTGTTTCTACATAAGCAATGAGGCAGAGGGTGGTGGAAAGTATAGAGGACTGTTTACTAGCATCTCCTGTAGACTTATCAGTCTGCTGTGGGAGGGGGGGGGGATCCTTTATCTGACCTCTGACCTACTTGTCAGAGCCGTATGGACCATGTGTTGCCTTATCCAACAATGTTGGAAGTCACAGTGCCCCTGAAGTAACATGATGGCTCCAGAGGAAGAGGACTGTTGAGAGAATGTCTCTTCTCTTGAGCTTTATAAGGTTTTAACTTTGGATTTGCAGGAGCCTTGTTGTGCTTTTTGGTGCTTTGGGATCCCTTCATGTAGTATGTTATATCGGTTTGTGTAAATGGTCTGCAAAGGCTCAAATCCCAAAGTTCCCTCAAGAGGCAGTTTCTCTCACTCCCCCCCGGCCTGAAACGCCTCCATTGTACTCATTTGTTTTCTTCTGAACATAGTGACATCACAATGTAACACTCTGGCTTCTATTGGCAAGCGCTCCTACACATTGTACAGGCTAAGGGGCGAATCATGTCTAAGCTGCTGACCAATCATAACAGAGCAGGCCAGTTAACCAATCAGAGCAGACAGGGCTCTGGTTTCAGACAGAGGGTGAAACGAGGTGCTGCAGCAGAGACCTTCTTGAACATTAAAGCATTTAAACATGTCACAGTGGAGGCACAACATACAAATATGATCCTGAAAATGATACTGCTCCCGTCTTGAAAATCTGATCCACCATGAGCCTTATCTTGCATCTTTGCTTCCACACATGCAACATCACAAAACAACTCCATCTACCTAGATTTAAAAGTTGCAGGAGAGTTTGATGAGGCAGTGAATAGTTCAGTCTGTTTTCATGGGGAATGATTTCAGAGATGCACTCTCATGGTCTCTGTTTCTCACACTGATTTTAGCAGCATCCTCCAGGGAATAAACGTATCCTGATGCTTGAAGCAGTACTTAAAGCAACAGCCGGTCAGATAAAGACACCCCTCGCTGACCAGAACATAACCTGACCACATTACATCTGTTACACATATTTCAACGGGTGCTTTTTTACACTTTTGCCTGGGCGGCAGTTTTCTCCAGGATACACGCATGATTGACAAGACACAATGACTGTGAAACGTTGCAGAGAGTAAATATGCTGCTGTACTAACAATGTATCGCAGATGTGTACTTCTGTTGGTTGGTGTACATATAGAGTTAACACATGCAGAACATTGTGTACGTGCCTCTATGTGTCATCACAAAAAAAAGTTATGAGCTAAATATATTTTTTAAAGTTCATAACCCATTTGGCCTTATTTGAAGAAGATATTACAAATGGGAGAGAAAGTTATTGAAGGGTTATTCTGGGGGCCTGGGTTTCCCAGCACAGGCCGAATAAAGGTGAAGGGTTTATCTGAAGGCACTACTCTAAAACAAAAAAAAGCAAGTTTATTTGTTAATCTCTATTTTTAAGGTCTCTCTAAAGAGCTTGAATCAGGGATGCAAACACAGTATGGTTAAAAAAAGAGAGAACTATTCGAAGCAGAAAAAAAACAGCATAATATACCATCTGACAAAGGCCTGTGCTATAATGCTTCAATTAACTGGCTGTTCTTTATAATATAATCAGATCAATAGGAGACAGAGATGCTAAGTTATAAATAAAGGGTTTTTATTATTATTTACAGCAGAGGTGGGGGAACATTTTCCTTTCAATTTTTACAACATCCTCCGAGGGCCGTACAAATGATTAAACTCAACCGCTGCTTAAAAATACTAAAATCACATCCCATTCATTTCGCCTTCCTTTCATGTTGTGCAAAGAAAAAGCAACCTCTTAATCCAGATATCTTACCATGATTCACGCACGCATGCATGCATGTGCACGGTTGTGGCATGACCACCAAAACAGAAAGATATGAAACGACTTTTTTGTTACTGTAATATAGTATTTTATACCTGTTTTTCATTTAGTCTCTTATTTTTTTATAACTATAATGATCATATCAAGGTGTGCCTTAACCTCACTGAGCTGAGGTTATTTGAGCCTCTCAGTCTGTCAGGAGAGAGCTCTCTTCCACCTGGTTGTAGAAAAGCTCTTTAAATTCGTTAGCATAGCTAGCTAACCAGAGGGGCGCCGTAAGGGGGTGAAAAGTTAGGACGATTCTAAGGGCCCATGACTGACAGGGGCCCCAAACATTTTTAGAACATTAAGAAAAAAAATGTAAGTAACCTTTCATCAATCATCAACAATTAACATTAATATAACGTCAAATTGATAATGTACTCACTAAACTTACGATTCATTTCACTTTTTTTCTTCCAAAAGTTAATTATCCAAAGCCCCTGTACACCCCCCTCTATTTACATGTAATGGTTTGGTCCTGCCTCCAAACGCTGTGTGGGCAGTGGCACCGCACTTTCTAGCAGAGAGTGAGAGCATGTTAGGACCAGGGATGCTAGTATTTACGTGTGTACGATGTCTCAACGACTAACAAAGTCAGGCTTTCAAAAAAGAAGAGAAAGACAAGAGAGAGGGACTAAAGGGCGACAGTATGTCACCCAGTTTTTCAAAAGAAAAGGTGGGTGTGGTCCATGAGTGGTGGAAATTAGTCTGTTAGTTAAGCTTAGTCCATTGTAAATAACAATTGTAATGTTTTGCTGACATTAAGTACTGTTAATATCTTCACAGAAAATGCTGAGGTTTTTCATTTCACTCCTCTTTTAGCTGACATTTAATAAATGCAGGTACATTTTTAGCAGCTATTCATACTAAATCAGTTGTCCCTCCCCCTGGTGCCAGGACCAACAGATCCATCTCTAGGCTCAGCAGCCCTGTCCCCCCATAAGGCTTTGCAGTCTTGCCATGCTGTCCATTGAAAGCCAGTTGGCTAGAAAGCTGGACTTCAAGGACTTGATCAGTGACTTTGCCTGTAAGAAGGCTAGGCACTGGGCTCTTGGTGAGTAAGGCTGAGCCAGGGCTCGTAATAACTGTTAAAGGGCAAGGCTATGGTAACGATATTGGATCACTACACAGAAGATGCATGATGAGAAAAAGACTGAGAACAGGTAATAGGCTCTGATTTAGCACCACCATCAGGGCTTTTCATTTCCATTTCGTTGTCCATTTACACTTTAATACCCGCTTATTTTGTAGTATGTATATTTAATTGAATAATCTGCTGCTTATGTTTTTTTTTTTGTTATAGCATTTTATAAATGATAATATTGGTGTTAATGTTCACTTTATTTTAATTTAAGAGGTCATTTTATTTTTATTTATGAATGTTCCATTCAAAAATGTTATTAAAAAGGCATGTACACCATAAAAGATGACTATTGAGGTCTATTGTCAGGAATGTTAGTGTTATATGAAATAGTGAATTCTACTGCAGCAGAATGTTGCACGTCTGCACAGTGTTATATGTTCACCGCTCAGTGTCAGTAAATATTGTGCAGTTAGTATTGGACTACAAGATAGATGCAAGCCTGTACAGGTAGAGTTATTTAAAGCATGAATGAGTCGGTTGGGTTCTGGAGGTGTGGTTACAGCAATTGTGCTTGGTTGGCGTGGCCTGGCCCTGGTGGTGGGGCCCAATGTGATATATTTTCATGGGGCCCAAAATCCCTGGCGGCGCCCCTGCCAGATGCTAATAACAACAGATCGCCACTGGGCTTACAACTAAAGACACAGCCACGCAAAAACTGCGGCACGGCTCCTTATGGGTACTGCAATATTTGTGCAGGAGCGGCGTTCCGGTGCTCTCCGTCAGCACTACACCACGTGATGACACGTTACGCTCGTGTTGTGTTCAAGGAACCTGTCCTTGGCCAGGAAAAACAGGGACTCGCTTGTTTAATTATTTTGCGGTCTAGATTTCTTAAACATTTTTTGAAGAGAAGTTGGCAGTCCGTGAGTCGGTTCTCCACGAATTACACAGGTCACCCGAATCAGCGTTAAAAAAGCGGGAGGCGCCGAAAAGCGACTAATTTGCATGCATGTTATATTTAAATATAAAATATGGCACATTTTTCCAAGGGGGGAGGCCGGTAGTCTCAGTCTTTTAAAAAATGTAATCTATCATGTAGAAGTAGTTTGGGTTCATTTATTCAAAAATAAAACAATTAAAAAGCATTTCTATGTTGTAGTGTCTGAAATACTGCAATACCTTTTTGAAAGAAAAAAAAACCCACACCTGAAAGTAGCAAAATGATTTCAATCAGAATCTGATCAAATATGCATAAAGAAAAGAAAATTCTCATTAAGCTAAACTTGCCAGCCATATTCTCTAAAGTGTTGAGCCTGTGTGCAGGGGCGGCGCCAGGGGGGAGCTAGGGGGTGCTGAAGCACCCCCCAGGATTGTCAAAGCACCCCCTAAGCACCCCCAAGAAATATATATATTTTTTTTTTTCGAAAAATATTATTATTATTATTTTTATTAAATTAGAAACATTATTGATTACATCAATGCAAATGTGAAACAAACACATTTTTGACCAAAAACATAAAGCCAACACAGGTGATATGATTAGGCCAATGGCCAGCACCCATTCGATTTTTGACCTACCCATAGGCTAAATTACTTTGACACTTGAGTGACTTCCTGTTAGCTAGAGCACCACATTATTTGCTAACAGCAAAGTGAAAGATGGATCGTTTTTTAGTCCTTAAACGTCCACGTGTGGACACTCAATCAAAACCACCTGAAAGCGAGAGGGATTCTGCACATAATAGCCTAGCGTCGTGAGTAGCCGACAAGTAGCTTCTCTGGTCTCTGTGTTTCATTCAAGCTCTGCTCTCTGTGTGTGTGTGTGTGTGTGTGTGTGTGTGTGTGTGTGTGTGTGTGTGTGTGTGTGTGTGTGTGTGTGTGTGTGTGTGTGTGTGTGTGTGTGTGTGTGTGTGTGTGTGTGTGTGTGTGTGTGTGTGTGTGTGTGTGTGTGTGTGTGTGTGTGTGTGTGTGTGTGTGTGTGTGGCACGAGCCATTTTGTGTGCGTGCGTGCGCGAGCGAGAGAGAGAGCTCGCCTCTACCGGAGATCGTTGTGGTTAGCATCTGGTGCTAGCTAACCAAGCTAACGGATATAAGGAGCTTTTTCAACAACAAGGTGGAGGGAGAACTCTCTCCTCCCATACGGATAGTCTCAGATTACCTCAACTCAGGTGAAGTAAAGGACTCTCAGTGTTTAGATAGTTAACTTTAGTCTAGTTATCTCAGTGGGTCTCAAACGGTTTGTTTTAAAAGGGTGTGTGATTTAAAAAATATCTATAAAGAAATAGAAAATCTGTTTACAGTTCTGTGTCATATGGATGTTGAGAGATGTATCCATAGATCTCTTAATGTTGCTCTCAAAGTGCACCAGATTGATGCTTTTAACTTCAATATTTTAAAAAATCTTCCCGGGGGAAACATGCCCCCGGACCCCACTAGAGGAGGTGAGGTCCACCCCCCACTTGTAAAAATAGCACTTTACCCCTGCTTACACCTATATGCCGTGAGCTGATGAGCCTTCATTGTAACAGTCGCGGGTACACTGTGTGTGCGTGTGGGGAGTGTTGTAGCGCTGGTGCATTAATGGGAAACCCTTAATGTTTGAGCACCCTCTATGAAACGTCAAGCTACCCCACAGCACCCCCTAGAGAAAATCTCTGGCGCCGCCACTGCCTGTGTGTAACACTCTGGGACACTCACCAGCGGGCCCTCATTTCTGCGCAGCACGGTGTAAGCAAAGGCCGGGCACGGGCAGTAGTGACAGGACACAAAGCATGTGTACAAACGCCCCGATCCTCCTATCACCTGCAACAGATTAATGCAAAACAAATGTAAATATATGGCAATGCTTGTATTTATGGGCTCAGAACAGTCTCATAATACACACATGCGCACAGAAGGATTCACACTTGTATTTCATGATCCGCAAAAGGATTCACACTTGTATTTCCGGATCCACACTTGTGTTTTTCAATGCACACACAAATGTGTTCCGTTTCATATACATGTAAATAAAATCCAAATACAGAAAAAAGTTTTACATATGTATTTTTGATCCACACATATTTGTTTTCCGTTTAAAACCGCTGCACCTGCAAACACAAACCGCTTTCTGTGCATGGATAGCTGTGCATTCGTGTGTGGGTTTTTTGAGACTCCCCCAGTGTTGCCAACTCCATAGTAAGGAAAGTAGCTATTAGCTGTCAACAAAGTCGTCAGAAGTCCCTACATGACGTCATCGCCTAATTTGCATATCATGTAATCGCGGAAAAAACGTTCCACCCACTTCAAAGATCAACATTTGAAACCACCAGAATAAATCCAGACGACAGTAGATCAGAAATGTCTCTATAAGAAAAAGTAGAAATAGTTTTTAGTAGAAATCTCCCTTACAATAAAGGCAGTATAGTATGCCGTGTGTCATCTCCAATAAATGGCTTCAATCATCCTTTAAACTCGGTTTAATCCCCACTCCTTTCTGTACTTTTGTGAATAGTTTAACTTTAGACTGACATGATGACCTACGTGGATGTTTAGCTTGTCACAGAGAGGCACACACACAGTGGACGAGGTGATTAAGTGACTGAAGCTGTCTCAACGCGGGAGAGTGTGGCTTTCTCCTCTCTGCTCTGACTGCAGCTGAGCTGCTGCGGAAGGCAAAGCTAGTCTGCGCACCTGTGAGTACTATGGGAGGGCTGAGGGGCTCACGGCAGCCGGGCAGCTCGTTAACGGCAGAACAATATGTGAGTCTCCAAACACCAGAAAAGTCCCAATAACACCATTACAAGTCGTTAGATCAGTCGTTAGTCGCTTTTCACGGAAATAAGTAGCCGGAGGGTTTGGAAAGCCGCCAAATGTAACGACAAAGTCGCCAAGTTGGCTGCCCCTGACGGTTAGCCGATTCGTAATTCTATCTATAGCCAATCAGATGTCTCCTCAATTCTAAGCCAATCACATGAGCGCGCCCCCACGAGGGTAGATTTCTTGCGTTCATGACGTAGCGCTTCATGTACGCATTTTGCGCAGTCCGGTAGTGATGGGATTTCCGGCTCTTCTTGGTGAGCCGGATCATTTGGCTCGGCTCACCAAGAAGAGCCGGCTCTTTCGGCTCCCAAACGGCTCTTCAGTTTACCACATATTATACCTTTTAATTCAATCAAATGTAGCCCTATTTTGACTAATGATTTATATGTGTACACATATATCACTTAAATTATTCAATACATCCTTTGTACTGAAGTATTCAAAAGTAAAAATTACATGATTAATATAAATGATTTGCTGTGGCCAATTGTTTTCATTGCATTTACAGACCCGTGTAACTCTCTGATACCACCCAATGAATGCATTGACTTGCTTGTAGAACCACGCTACACAAAACAGATAGCAACACCTATACAAACTATTTAAAAAAGGGGGCTACTGTATCGACCTATATAAACTATATAAATATAGTTTTTTTTTCAAAATACCAAACAGATCCTGCATTTTAGCCATGCCTCATTTCGCTCTATTTCCTCTTTCCAGCGCTGTTTTTGCAGGGGCTGATTCTGTGTGCTGCAGCTGACCACGCCCCCCTGCAGGAGAGGGGAGCATGCTTTAGATCAGCTGCTGGGCTGTCAGAAGAGGGGGAGAAAAAGAGATCTCCGTCCTCCGTGTTTTATTCTTATAGAAGTAAGAAGAGAAGTAATGGGGCAGAAATTCCCTCCTTTTTACGCAGCGGTCAGAAGAGAACATAGACATCAAACGGCGACACATATTCAGTGTGCAGTTACTTTGGCATTAGGGCAGGGATATCTAGATACTTTCCAAGGTTTGACATAATGAATTGTGCTACTTTTAAAGCAAGCAACGATGTTTTCAAATCTGTAATCAAAAAGCTCCTCAAAAACACTATCGAAGCAGTTCCTGCCGTTGCTACGTTAGTTCAAACAGTAACAACGGACTATTTTTCTTAGCGGATGCATGTCAATTTAAATCAATACATAAAACTATTTTTTAAATCAATAAAATCATTTTCTAAATCCATAAAAGCATTTCAATTAATATTGGGAGTCATGTCGTTACTTTGTTGAGAATGTGGCCATGTAATAAGCGGGATAATGTGCACATTGCACAATGTGCCTTCATGCCGATCTAGATCCCTCCGCAAAAAAAAACGGCTCGTTCGCGGGCGAGAGCCGGCTCCCGCCGTTCACTTAAAAGAGCCGGCTCAAAGAGCCGGCTCGTTCGCGACCGACACATCACTACAGTCCGGAGCTGACAGGTCCATGGAGCCTGCCTGCAGGCGCTAATGTCAGGACACCTCCAGTCTCAGTACATTGCCACTTTCCGAACAGGAAATGCACGCAAATACAATCTTTTATATTATCAAGGTACAGCGCCACTTTCCGAACCATTGATGAATACTTGTGTACACAAAAACTGCAGGCAAAACCGTTTTAAATGTGTGTTTCCTGTATGGCGAATATAGCTGCTTTATTTATGTCTGTATGAAGCTGTTGTGAGTTGATTGATTGATTGAAAAGTGTATTAACAGCTTGTATATTGGGTACAGTACAGTACAGCTCAAAACATACAATTGTTAAGGGGATGCAGACCAGAGAAAGACTTTCGTCTTGTTTACATCAGTGTCCCCCATTTCCAATTCATCATATCATTTAAGACAGGGGTGCCCAACCTTTTTTTAACCGAGAGCTGCTTTTAAAGTTGCCAGTCTGCCGAGATCTACCAGTCCAAATAGAGAGGCGTAGCCATTACTGACAGGTAAATACACACTTCTACTTGTATAAAACTGACCTTTGTACGATTAATACTTCATAAAATACTGCAGATCCTTTATCTTACCTCTTTCTAATCTACACACATACAAGTATTTAACTGAAGTTACACAACAGTGTTGTTGATACAGAGTTGGAGTTTATTCACACGTCACATACTACCAGGCCCGGACTGGCCATCGGGAGGACCGGGAGGTTTCCCGATGGCCTGGCCTGGCCTGGCCTGGCCTGGCCTGTTAAGTGGCCTGCTGGCCTGAGGAATTTTTTTATGTATTGTGAACGCAACGCTGCGCAAATGTGGGTCTGACTCTGCCTCACAGAGGGTGACTGGCTGTCTACATGATGTGGCCTGCCGACATGGCCACTTTCATACAGATCATACACTAATGCCCTCGATTGGTCTCGTGTCATTCAAGCTCGGGAGGGTGTGTATGTGTGGCGCGAGCAAGCGAGAGAGAAAGCGCGTGCACTGGTTACGTGTATTGTTGTTGTTAGCATCCGGTGCTAGCTAGCGGCGCTAACGGAATGAGCTGTCGACAAGGTGGAGGAGAGTCCTCTCCAGTCAGACTGAGAGGCTGATAACTACAGCTCAGGTGAGGTAAAGGACTCTGAGTGTTTAGATAGTTAACTTAGTCTAAGTTCTCTGTGGGTCTCAAACGGTTTGGTCACCATTTATGTAAACACATATTTCCATTTGAAGGGGGAGTGATTAGTAAAATATGCATGAATAATACAAAAAAAAAAGTTAACTAGGTGAAAAAAGGTAGGATAAACTTTTAAAAACGTATTGAGAGCCTAAAACTAGTCTTTGCTGCTGCCTCAAAGAGGAGCAGGGGGGAGACGGGTGAGGCTGGTTCAGGAGCCCAGACACACTATGCCATGCTAACTATAAATGAACCAAAAACAAATAAATAAACAAGTTTCAATGTTTTTTCATATTGGATATGGTATGTTATTGGTTATGGCCATGTTCTTATGATTTTATGATTATTTAAATGTATACAGTTCTGTTTCATATGGGTGTAGTCTCTTTATTTCCCCCTCAAAGTGCATCAGATTGATGCATTTAAGTCCAACATTTAAAAAAAAAAAATCTTCCGCGGGGAGCATGCCCCCCGACCCCCCTAGAGGATTTGAGGTCCACCTCCACTTAAAATATGTTCACATGGATAGGTTCCTAAATAGATTTGCACTTTTAAAAAAAAATAGTAACCCATGTCCATATGTTTATTCTGGGGTAGTTTTAAAGTTTATGGCTATCACTATGGGCAGCAATGCTGTAAATATTGACAAATAAATCCAGGAAAATTACACAAAATAAAACTGGTAGTGGCCTGGTTGGGTGTATAATTCCCGGCCTGACTTATTGTCCCAGTCCGGCCCTGCATACTACAGTGGGTGATGTTTTCAAGAAACATTGAACAGTGCTGCCACATACTGTATGACTCTGAACCCTTTCTTTGCCATTATATATATTACAAAAATAATCATCCTCACACTCGGAGTGAAAATTATATATGTTTTGCTTCTGCCATAATTGCGGTCTTGTGTGTGTGCGGACTGTCACTCCTGTTGACACGGACAACGTTAGCGAACTAGTACACTGCCCACTGCTCACCAGCCACGCCCCGACACATGGGGTCACGCTAGCCAATCACAAAGCTTTGATGCGTTCAAGTGCATTATTCTGGCACAGGAAGATTATGTTACAAGACATTAACGATAAAACAGAATATTGTTGTTCTATTTTTAGACACATCTCGCGATCGACTGGGAATCTCCCCGCGATCGACCGGTCGATCGCGATCGACTGGTTGGGCACCCCTGATTTAAGACATATAAGACATATTTGACATACAGATGGCTTATTTATAATTTACATACAGGTGGTTTTTTACATACAGATTGCTTATTTACAATTTTCATTTTAGATGTCGTTCTAATACATCCTAACGGGGCCGGACTGGGACAATAAGTCAGGCCGGGAATTATACACCCCAGGCAGGGGCGGATCTACCGGGGTGG